CAAGTAAGAAAGGAAAGGAGGGAATACTTGCTCGACGGTTTGTTTGAAGCTCACATGAGTTCTACTCTTTGTACCCTGGAAAAGTCTATGATGTGCATTTTTAAAAGGGAGCAATGTTTGTAAATGCATTATGTCAATTTCAAATAAAAATGTTTGAACGGTCAAATTTATGTACACTTTGAAGTGAGATTTATACTTTTTGTGATGAAAAAAATTATATTATTTTACTATTGAATAAATTGCATTAATAATTTGTATAGTTTAAAACTTGTGTCACTTTGATTCTTAATTTTTCAATTATGATATATTTGATTCTAAATTTTGAATCTTGTTCCAAATAAGGATAATACATTTTTTATTTTATTTTTACAAATGGTCCATTTCAAGGGTTGTATTGGTTAACTTGTATGTTATTTAAAATGTAATGGCCTTTCTTTTAATGAATAATGCCATCACTTTTTTTGTTATAAAGTTCTGTTTGGTTTTCAAAATCTATTTTCAGAAATTTTTTCTAAGAAACTAAAAATTAAATTGTTGAAAAAAAAATTAAAAATACAATCAGTGTGTTTGGTTTGAGTTTTTTTAATTAAGTTTTTTGAAAACTGAGTTTTTTAGTTTTCGTATTTTTTTGTTTTTAATGAATATTTTTAAAATTTTAAACATTTTTTTTTACTTTTTTAGATGTACCTTATTTAGATGTATCTAAAAATAAAAAATTTGTGAAAAAATATTTTAAAAAATTAATAAATATATAAAAATACAAAAAAATGTATTGAGTTCTCGTATTTTTTTTTTATATTTTTGGTATTTAGTGAATTTTTAAAAGATTTTTTCACAAAATTTTTACTTTTTATGTATATTTATGTTAGGTATGTCTAAAAAGTAAAAAAAAAAATTGCTTAAAATATTAAAAAAATTTAATAAAAACAAAAAAAAAATATGAAAAACAATAAAGTAAAATTTTCTAAAAAGTATTTTTAGAAAAGTGTAACCAATCAATTATTTTTTTTTATTCATATGACTAATAAATTATTAATAAAAAAATTACTTAAATGTTATATGAATTAAGATATTAAAGGAGACTAGTGTAATTACACCCAAATGTGAGATAGACTGTAATTTCTCTAAATTTCAAAGGAGGTAGGTGTAATTTATACATTATTATTCTATTTATTTATTTATATGTATTTGTATAAAAACTACATATAACATTGTGTTAGGCTCCATTAAAAAAAAACAAAAAAAAAAAAAAACAAACATATAACATTGTGTTAGGTTCCATAAAAATTAAAAAAATAATAATAAAAAAAAGAGGCGTGTTTGATGCGGGAAATTATTTAATAATATCATAACATCACGTGTTTATATTTCAAATTAATCATCAATTATTTAATTTTATGTTGTTCTCTCATACTTAACATAAACTACGAATCCTTAGTCCTTTTTATCAATCAAAATTTAATAAAGCACCATATATTTATATTCTAAGGGTATGTTTGATTGGAAGGATTAAAGCATGGGATTGGGATTATTAATCCGTGGGCCCAATCATCCTATGTTTGTTTTGACACTTTGGTTTAGGATTATTAATCCAATGGATAATTAATCCAACAAATTTGTAGGATTATTAGTAATGGAGTAGGGGTGGAATAGTTAACACCACATTAATTTGATAAGATTATTAATACTTCACTAATAGTGAAGTGAATCAAACATGACCTAAAAGAATAATGATAAAAATCACTAAAAGTAATGTTCTAAAATAACCAGTAATAATATGATATTCATTTTATTGTGGTTTTTCTAAAGTGGCTTTAGGAAAACCTCCATTAGACAAAATGATAGGATAAGTCATATGTAGCCATCATTTTCCATCTATAAGCATGAACAATAACAATAAACAAAATGATATGGTGATTTAATTCAAGTATCAAACTATTTTGTTGTCATTTTATGTATCACCAATACATTAATCTGATAATTTCGTCTTTGTGATGACTAATGCATTCAAGACATGTGATCTGTTTTTTTTAAAAAAACTATTTTAACAAAAAAAAAAATTATGTTGTCAAACAAAATCTAAATATAATTTATAGGGTAAATTACACTTACACGTCCTGAGATTTAGATTTAGGCCAAGTTTGACATCTACTAAATAATATAAAAAGTCAAAAAGTCATTATCGTATTTAAGTCACATCATCTTATTTAAATCACATCACTTCTCTAACACATCACATCAAACCCAACCCAAACCCAACCCATATAAGTCAATAAGTCAAAAAGTGCACTTTTTTAGAACATCCCAAACCAACCCTTAAAATCATATGTCAATTATATTTATAAAATTATATATTTTATCTAAAAATTCTACAAAATATTGTTTGTATATCATTAGCATAATTATCTGAATTTCAAGTTGGATTGGCTGAATCAAATGATTTGGATTGCAATTATAATGCCAATTCTACTTCAATCCTTATCGACTAATTTTATTACTATTACTATTTATTTTTGATACGGTACAATGATTGTAGATAGAAATGTTAGGGGAAGAATTAGACTTAAATTGACTTGAGTTAATATAAATAAATATATGAATTTTTTTAATTTAGGCCTTGTTTGGTATATACTAAAAAAGTCAAAAAGTCACTATCTCATTTAAGTCACATCACCTCTCTAACACATCACTTCAAACTCAATTCATATTTCATAAAAATTCAAAAAGTACACTTATTTAGAACATCCCAAACTACCTCTTAATTAATCAAATATCTATTAATAGAGTGGAGTGAAAAACAAAAATTCATATAGCCAACTCCATTTATGAGATTTAAAATTTAATGTGGTTTGGTGTGGTTTGATTTATTATTTATTTCTTATATATTCATGTCTATGCTTATAGATAAATAAATAAATAAATAAAAATCACTATAAACTTTTTTTTCCAAGCCTCTCGTTTAAATTATGTCAAGTTTATCATTTTTTTGAAATAATTTTAAAAATATGTATCATATATTATTATAGATAATTTTTTATTTACTTTGTATTGAAAATAAAATTATACAATTCATGATTTGAATTTGCAATTTGATTCACTATTCTTTCATTTACGTTGTGTTTGGCTTATAAATTTTAGAATATGTTGGGTCTATCCCACATCGACTCGGGAGGGACTCTTCGTCTACCTTATAAGCGTACTGGGCCCCTTCACCTGTTACAAGGCCTTTTCCCCAGGGAAGAACAAAGCCGTGAGGGGTCGCAGGGACGGTGGTCATGCGCCACAACACCCTAGCCCCAGAGCGGACAATATTGTAGCAGGGCGAGAGGTCTCTCGCCCTCCTTCTAGCGCCAATGCACGTGCCTGACCTCTCGCCCTGCCACAATATTGTCCGCTCTGGGGCTAGGGTGTTGTGGCGCATGACCACCGTCCCTGCGACCCCTCACGGCTTTGTTCTTCCCTGGGGGAAAAGGCCTTGTAACAGGTGGAGGAGGCCAGTACGCTTATAAGGTAGACAAGGAGTCCCTCCTGAGTCGATGTGGGACAGATGTGGGATAGACCCAACATAACCCCCCAGCGGACTGGGCCGCGAACAGCGGGAGAGTTTGCTGGACGCCCTCCTTCTAGCGCCAATGCACGTGCCTGACCTCTCGCCCTGCCACAATATTGTCCACTCTGGGGCTAGGGTGTTGTGACGCATGACCACCGTCCCTGCGACCCCTCACGACTTTGTTCTTCCCTGGGGGAAAAGGCTTTGTAACAGGTGGAGAGGGCCAGTACGCTTATAAGGTAGACGAGGAGTCCCTCCCGAGTCGATGTGGGATAGACCCAACAGAAGAGATTGATAAGGGAAAAAAATAAATAAATTGTAAATAAAATATAATCACATTTCAGACATTTTCTCCCCCTTTTCAAATCTCTATTTAAATTTATAAACCAAACACAACCTTAACTATCTTAATTAACTAGTCAATTGATTTTACTTATCCACGGCAGTTTATGTGTCTGCATCTCACCAACCACTAATTTTTATATAAATCCCCCAATTGATTTTACTTATCACGTATGTAAGATAGTCCACATCTCACCAACCACCAATATATATGGATAAAAAAAGAAAAGAAAAAATAAGGGCAATTAATATAAATTCAAAACATTTTTACCAAGTCCATAAAAGTTTTCATGTTGCAACCTACTTCAATTTTTAATAAGGAAAACAATTGTGAATAAAATTCGTTTTGGTGATCACTAACTAGAACTGTCCTTATACACTTTTATTTTTTTCTTCTTCGTTATTTATGAGGTATTAAAAGAAATTTCTTGTGTTTTCTTCATTAATTTTGATTGATTTTGATGAATTTATTATATATGTTAAAGTTTTGCCTGAGAACAATGTCATGTTTCAAAATTGATTTCGCATATACTCATACCATTGTTACTTGTTAATTTAGTTTAAAGAGGTGGATTCTCTCTGATATATAATTTGGGCTAGAGTGTATTGCTTGGGCTTATAAAACTCACTACGAGTCTCATTTTAATAATTTAAATTATTTATTTTATAGAACATTTTGTAATTTGTATATTTCATAAAAAAAGAAAAGAAAAGAAGATTGATTCAATAATTGTAATCTATTTAATTTATCGTATTCGTCATTAAAAATATAAACGATAATGCGATAATTTAAATATGTTATAATTGTGTCAACTTAATTTTTTTTTATAAATAGAACACACAAGAATCTAATAAAATAAATAATTTAAATTAACAAAATGAAGCTGATAAACCTAAAGAGTGCGAATCCCCTCTTCTGCACGGAAGTAATTCACCTGCATAGTTTAATGAGTCGGTAAACAGTACCAAAATTTGATAATCACTTTCCCCATTTTATCCTTGGCACATTCTAAAAATTTCAATCAACTCCACTTCACCAACCGCCCCTCCCAACCCACACTACCATCACCTACTTTCATCTGTATAATACTTCAACCAAAACTCAACCCAACCCAGGGAAGGTCTCAAAACAAGAAAAAACACCAACCCCTCATCTCCCCTTCCCTCTCCTCTCCTCTCCTCTTTCTCTCTCTCTCTCTCTCTCTCTCTCTCTCTCTCAATGGAGAACCAAAAACAGAAACAAGAATTCATTTTCAGATCCAAACTTCCAGACATCTACATCCCAAATCACTTGCCACTCCACACATATTGCTTCGAAAACATATCCCAATTCAGCTCTCGTCCCTGCATCATCAATGGCTCCACCGGCGACACCTACACCTACGCCGATGTCGAGCTCATCGCTCGCAAAGTCTCCGCCGGCCTCAACAACCTCGGCATCCGACAAGGCGATGTCATCATGCTCTTGCTCCACAATTCTCCCGAATTCGTGTTCTCCTTCCTCGGCGCATCGTACAGCGGCATAACTATTACCACAGCCAACCCGTTCTACACTCCTGCGGAGATCGAAAAACAAGCGAAAGCATCCAAGGCGAAACTCATAATCACCCAATCTTGTTATGTCGAGAAAGTAACGGAATTTGGAAAAGAAAACGACATCAAAATCGTCTCCACCGACTCCACCCCGGGGAATTCTTGTCTGCATTTCTCTGAGTTAAGTCAGGCGGACGAGACGAATGCCCCGGCGGTGAAGATCAACCCAGATGATGTCGTGGCGCTACCTTATTCGTCGGGAACCACGGGACTACCGAAGGGGGTTATGCTGACACATAAGGGATTGGTGACGAGTGTGGCACAACAGGTTAGGAATAGAACTAGGAGAAGATTATGTCGTACTTATGTGAAATATATTATTTGTCATAATACGATAAAAAATATATATCTTATTTTTTCTTATTGTATACTTATTGTATACATATATATATATAATATATATCTTATTTTTTCTTATTGTATACTTATTGTATACATATATATATATATATATATGTGTGTGTATGCTTATATGTAGAATGAAAAGAAATTATTTATTTTTGATTCATTCGATAATAAAATTCTGATTCCGTTCTTGCGACAGGTTGACGGTGAGAATCCAAATCTTTATTTTCACAGTGAGGATGTGATCATGTGTGTGCTACCATTGTTCCATATATACTCTCTCAACTCGGTGTTGCTATGCGCTCTCCGAGTTGGGGCGGCGATTCTGATTATGCAGAAATTTGAGATTAAGTTGTTGATGGAGCTTGTGCACAAGTATAAGGTGACGATTGCGCCGTTCGCGCCACCCATCGTGCTGGCGATCGCAAATAGTCCGGTGTTCGATGATTATGATTTGTCGTCGATTCGGACGGTGATGTCCGGTGGGGCACCCATGGGGAAGGAGCTTGAAGATACTGTTAGAGCCAAGCTTCCGAATGCTAAACTTGGACAGGTATCTTACTATTCCAACACAAATTTTCTATCTTGGACTAGTTGGTGCTGTACGGATCGTCGAATCGCTTATTATTTATGTTTGTTTGAAAAAAATATATAATTTATTTTTTAAAAATAAATGTGATAAATTAAATAAATTATAATTAATGAATTGATCTAATTTTATATATTAATAATATATATTAAAATTTTTAAAAATTAATCAATTTAAATTATCAAAATAAAATTATACCCATTGTGATAAGAAAATTAATGTATGGTTTTAATTTTTTATTGAACGCTGCTTGCATAACACGCCGAATTGTACCGCGTCAGCTTAGTTGGCTGGTGTATGGTCTTCAAAGTTGAATCTCTTGATAAGAAAATTAAAGTGAAAAAAATATTAAAAAAATGAAAATTATTAAGAATTTATAATTTAAAATATTAAATTCATTGACAATAATGTTGCAAGAGAGTTACGTTTTATATGTTAAGTTTATAACAGATCAAAAATTAATATCTAACGTATTGTACTATTGTGAGTTAAATTATGAATATTTTTTAATAGTCTCAAACATTTTTTTATTTAAATATGTTTGTTTGAGTTTTTAGATTTTGTTTTTTTAAAAAAAAAAAAATTTAAAAACTTGTTTGGTGGAAAAAAAATATGTACAAAATTTTTAAAAAAAAAACTCATTAATTTTATATGTTTTTCTTTTTTTGGGGAGAAGAAATAGTTTTTAAAAATTGAAAAATATATTTTTTAGCATTTGTTTTTGTCAAATTAAATTAAATTTTAAAAAAAAATTCAAAAGAAATTCTAAAAACTAAACCAAATAATTTCTCGCCATTTCATAAAACAAATTGTATTTTTGTAATTAGTACTTTTCTTTTTTATTAGGGGAATTAGTGAAATTTGCCGTGCGATTTAGCATTTCTCTTTTTTACGAGCAATGCTATGCTGCACTTATTTTTTTACACCTCTTTTTAGGTAGTATCCCATCTGTTAGTATATTATTGAAGTAATGAGTCTCACTATTGATGCTTATCTCTAATAAAGTACATTAATGTTAATAACAAAATTAAGGTAACTGTTGGGACAATGGTATCTTTGTAATTTTTATTCCATTCACTAGACATTTTATTTTAAAAAGATAAGTGGCCTTAATACCACAATAAATAAATAAATATAATTAAAGAATGATAAAATTATTTGTTGATTTAAAAATATTTTTTTATTGATTTTAGATTTTTTTTAACCTTTTAAAATAATTTTTTTAATGTGATTTTCATGTTTATCTCAATATTAAACATTGATTCACGTAACTCATTAGCATTTGCCTTATTTTCAATGCAATTCGAGTAATTTTCAGCATTTGTGTTATTTATTTATTTATTTTTATTTCTCTAGTATTTTTTCTTTGTTAATTTTAATTACCTAATTCAATTTTTGGAAATATCTAAGTAGTGAAGTAATTTTATCATCAATATATGTCGAACAATGAATGATAGGATTTTCTGGCAAACAATGTATATATTGTAAGGCCTTCCCATTAATTTGGAGGGACAATTAGCCCTCAATTGTTATCGTAAATCAAATTAAAATTTTAGTGGCTATCAAAAAATGAAAAATAATTTACAAAAAAAAAAAATAAAATTCGCTGTCTTTGTCTATAAAGGTAAAAGCGTTATATATAATCATATTTCATATTTAAAAAGGCCCATATTAATATATGTAATATTTTTCTTCAAACATATCCATTTTTTCCCCTTCATTTGCCTTATTATTCCATAATCTTTGCAATCAAATTATAAGATAATTGTAAAGAACAATCTAAATTACTCCACCTGGTATAACCATCTTAAGTAATTTTACAAATAGATGTATGATAATAATGCCATCTATGATAATTAAAATAAAATAAAATAAATTCTAAAAGGAGAACCATTAATCTATAATGATGAAATATTAGATGGTTGGCCTTTTTGATATGATGAAGCGATAAAAGCAATTTCATTCACAAAAATAAGGGCGTTGTCTTAATAATTAGAAAATTAAAATCCGTTTGCCAATTTTATGTAGGGTTATGGCATGACAGAGGCAGGACCAGTCCTCTCAATGTGCTTAGCTTTTGCTAAAGAACCTTTTGAGATAAAATCAGGTTCATGTGGGACTGTTGTCAGAAATGCCGAAATGAAGATCGTAGACCCTGACACTGGTGCTTCTCTTCCCCAAAACCAAGCTGGAGAAATTTGCATCAGGGGTGACCAAATCATGAAAGGTATTCACTCATTTTGTATCTCTACACATACGTACAAATATATATATATACACTAGTGTATGCCCATACCCGTGCCTGAAGGCACGGTGTAAATAAAAATAAGTGAACAAAAAGAAAAAATAAATAAATAAATAAATAGAGAGGAAAATAAAAAATGGAAAAAATTAAAAAAAGAAAAAGAAAACGAGGAAGGTGATATCCTGGGATCATTCATGAAATTATTCCTGGGATCATTCATGAAATTATTCATGGGATCATGGGAGGGTGGGCGAGAAAATGAAAAATTAAGAGAGAGAAGCGGGAAAGTAGGATACATCACAGCTGTTATTTTGTAATTTAAACAGATGTGAGCCGTTCAAATGTTCTAGTAGGACAAATGTGTGTAGAACAAATTCAAATACCACCATGCTTTATTATATAGATATATACACACACTTAAAATTGTATGCAAATTTTTTTTCAAGACTTTCTTTTTCTAGGATTATAAAGAATTTTATTAACTCTAGAAAAATTTAGTACTATTAAGGTATATCTCAATTAGATTAACACACACCCAGACAACCCAAAAAGCTGGTAAAATCCCAACACATAAAACAAACTCCTTTACAAAACACATCAAAAAAGTAACAAGCTCCTCTCAAACTTTCACCCATGTAATGTCAACGAAGATTGTGAACAATATTCATTACAAAATAGGATGAAATTTTAGTATGAGATTTAGCCTAGAAGACCACTCTCAATTTAGTCAAATTAATACGTACTCCAATGAAAGATTTGCACCATAAAAGGTAATATGGTTTCTTATTTTTCAAATCGACTAAGTTATTGCAATTGGAAGAGATTTTGACCTCTCAATTCTGGACTCTTTCCAAACTCCTACTTAGTGGGTGTTTTTCCCAATTAATTAAATGAATTTTTTTCTTTTCCACGCAATCTCGCCAAACAAGGCTTCTTTGAATCTTATCCAATTCATTCAACAAATTTTGAAGGGCTTTACAAAAGGACATAAAATAAATTACTAAGTTCTCCAATATAAGAATTGTTCAAAGTGAGTCTTCCATAAGTTGATCCTCAAATGTTTGGAAAAGCATTTTGGGAATTTGTTTCCCCGTTAATGAAGAAGTCAACAAAATCAATATTAGATGTAACAATCAAGACTTTATTATTATTATTATTATTAATTATTGTGACATTTGTCGTAGCAGCATAAAATTTAAATGATAGGTACAATTTTTAGATGGGTTGGATGAGATTGGAGAGAATAGCTCGTGGATTGCTTTTTAAGGTCAATGGTGACTGAGTCCTCCTTGATTTTTAATAACATGTTATAATAATTCAATTTGATTCTCACACATTTTAAATAATTTGATTAGGTGAGGCACTTTCAAAGTATAAAAATGTTTTCCAACTCTTTTGGTAGGATTGTAACATTAATTATTTGGTTGACTAGTCACATCACAAGAGGTAGTTGCAGTTGTTGTTGAATTGAATCCAACAATAATTTTAGGATTTTTTTTATTATCATTAAAAAAAAAAAATCATATATCCCTACTTTTTGTAGATTACAAAATTATCTATAGAAACTCATTTTCTAAAAATTGTGAAATTTTGAGAACTCAATATTATTTCGTTTGTTTACTATTTCTATTAGAAAAAAGGAGGAGCTTTTGGAAAGTCGGTTCTTTTTAATTCAAGTTTTTGAAAATATTTATTTTGATTTTATAATTTTGAAAAAAAAAATTGTTTCTCAACTTTCTATTAAACTTTTATTTTATTATTTTAGAAATAAAAAATCATATTAGATAATAAAATCTTACACAAATAAGATTAGGCTTGCAATTCGAGCAACTCAGTCTAGGTGATGGACTCGATGGATTAAGACTAATTTGGGATTAGCCTTACTAATCCAAATATATATTCCCAGAAAGTACATAAAGATAGAAAGTCTTGATTATTATTATTATTATTATTATTTTATATTTTTTTTTAAATTTAGATAAGCTAAAGTCCAAATTAGTTGAACTCTTGTTGGCCCTTCTTTCCATTTGACTGGGCGATCCACTTTTACATCTTTTATGTCTTCTCATCAATTCTTGTTGTGTTGTCTATTTTTATTTTTATTTTGGCCAATTATGTTTTTGTTGAACCATGTGTGAGGTTCACATTTATTATTGAATGGTTAAATTCTTATGTTTGTGGTGGACCATATGTCTGAGGTTCACATTTATTTATTTTGAATAAAAATAAAAATAAAAATAAAAATTTCATTCATCATTAATCTTGAGTCAAATTTTTTGTTTAGGTTGAATTTACGATTTTCACTTTTAAGACATGAATGACTTGTGGGTGTATAAAAAGTTATGTAAAAAACACACCAACGCTAGAGATCATCATAAACAACATTATTTTAATACATGCCTATATATATTTTGGTAGGCATATATGCATAGATTAGGGTACAATATTACACATTTTAAAAATGTGTATTTCATGTATGTACATATCTAATTTTGATCTAAACATAAAATAGTTGATGATAAAGAGCCACTTGTTAAGTGGTAATATGATGAGTGAGGTCACTTCAAAATTAACATTGTTTTGTCTTGTTACTAACATCACCTAATTGATAACTAAGGTTAATGCCTTTTTCGACTTGGCAACTACTTTAAATCATAATTATAATAATTTTAATTCATAATCAATCCAACTTTATGTCATAGAAAGGCATATGACATATAATTCAGGATGAAGCATATAGAATTCTTGTGAAAAAAATAAATTAAAGATTACTTAACATCTTAGTCATTTCAAATTAAAGGGATATGAAACGCCTTTTGTCTACATAGTGTTGTTGTAAACAAAATAAGAAAAATGTTATCGTTTCAAGTAATTGAGATTTGAAAGGGTGTTTATTTCATGGGGTTTCAATATTGTAATTTAAAATATTGGGGTATTTTGGCTCTCTTGATTCCTACATAAAATCAAATATTTTATAAAAATTTCTTATAGAATGATGAGATTAATTTAGTTCAAGAGTTAAAAAATATGATGAATTGAGTATGAGCAAAGAGAACATCTTCTATCGCGTCCCAAATTTTGGAATTTTTAGCCGCCAAAGGCACTTATTCGATCCCTAATTTTTTTCCACATACAAGATAAGCAAATGAAATTTATTTCACGTAGAAAATGGTTGGCAATTTGTGAATTATGAATTGTTCTAACTCTAATGTACATTATGTTGGATTTAAATAGGCTATTTGAACGACCCGGAGGCCACAGAGAGAACAATAGACAAAGAAGGATGGTTGCACACCGGTGACATTGGCTATATTGATGACAACGATGAGCTCTTCATCGTTGACCGGTTGAAGGAATTGATCAAGTACAAAGGGTTCCAAGTAGCTCCGGCCGAGCTCGAAGCAATGTTGATTGCTCATCCCGACATCTCTGATGCTGCCGTTGTGCCGTAAGTCACCCTACAAAATCACTTAGATAATTTTACTAATTAGATGGTGATTTATTTTTATTTAATTTAATTTTAATTTTATTTATTTATTTATTTATTTTTGTGGGTATGTGATTATTGGTTGATTTGTCGCAGCATGAAAGATGAGGCTGCAGGAGAAGTTCCGGTTGCATTTGTTATAAGAGCTAATGGTTCTAAGATAACAGAGGATGAGATTAAGCAATACATCTCAAAACAGGTACTTCTTGATTAGCATAGTATAAATAAAAAGGTAAACTATTAGTAGATCCTAATAATTAGACTTAATTCTCATTAAGATTTATTGAAAATAAGTCTTAATAAAATCGTCGTTAAAAATAATTTTTAATGACTATTTTTAACATTTGTTGCTAACAATTGACAATTAGTGACTTTTTTTTTATCACGATTTTTATAAATTGTCCCTAAAACTTACAATTAGTAACATTTTTCTATGACAAATTTTTCAAACTGTAACTGAAAATTAATAATGTTTTTATGTGACGATTTTTTTAAACTGTCGCTAAAATTTATAATTAGTGACATTTTTTGTAATAAAATTTTTAAACCGTCACTAAAAATTAATAATTAGTGACCTTCTTTTGATAATATTTGATGAAAAACGTTATTAATTATCATAGAATCTATACATAAGTACCCCTAAATAAAATGATCTAGGCATCACCAATTTGATTTGGACTGGGATGCATATCCATGAAAATGCGCTTTTGTTAGCTCATTAGAACAAGCTTTAATCACAAAAAAACAATAGGTGAAACCTATGATCAATTACCCTAATCGTCAAGCCAAAAAAAATAAAAAATGAAAAATGACAATTCTTTAAACTAAACTTATTTGAATTGTAATTATATTTTAGAAGTCGAAGTGAAGTAAATTTAGAAAATGGACTTGGATTTGGTTTGGAATCAACGGGAAGTTCAAAAGGCTACAAAATGTACAAGTCAACTAAGCCAACCATGTTTGGTATCATTTTCTGAAACTATTTTTTGATTTTTTTTTTTTTTTTTTGAAAAGATAGAAAATTGTTTGGCAAAAACAAAGATCAAAAAGATACTTTTTTAAAAATTTTAAAAATTATTTCTGGCCCAAAAAAATAAAACCACATAAAAATTATTTGATTTTTTTTCCCATTTTTTTCACTAAATTAATTTTTAGTTTATAAAAAACAATTGAAAACTAATTTTGAAAACCAAACTAAACATAGCCGAAAGATTTTTGGGGTTTTCACGTTAAACAATCATGAGTTTTCTTTGTGTTTGATTGATTTCATTTCATGTTCGTAATTTAAAAAATGTGGTTGAATTAATCAAGAAAACAACGCCAAAATAAATTCATATCAACGAATTCATCTGTTTTTATCTGTTCCCATGGTTTAGAATCACATGATTTCATTTTCCTTAAATTAAAAATAACATCACATAAATGTCACTACATTGGACCAAGGATAGACATCTTTTTAGGATTCCATATACAATTAGTTAATAATTCCTAATTCTAATACATACTCTTGACCAATTATGGTGCTTGATTGTGTATATTAATGTGCAGGTGGTGTTCTACAAAAGAATTAATCGGGTTTTCTTTGCGGATTCAATTCCTAAAGCTCCATCTGGTAAAATCCTTAGAAAAGACCTAAGAGCGAAGCTCGCAGCTGGCTTTGCCAATTAATCTTTATATTCGATGTATGTATTATACATTAAAAATTTGTATATTAAGGGCACACGGAGTATTTTCTTCCCCTCGCATTGCCCATCAAGAAGACATTGAGTGCATTTGATTTATTTCAATAGTTATGTGATTCCTTGTATGTGTTGGATTTTTCGCTCTTCAAGAAACAAACTTGAACGGAGAGAAAACCAAGTGCTTTGTTTATGTATATGATGTATGGTTTATGTTTGCTTTTTCTCCTTCGTAATAGTATATTGTTCAATTTTGCTTTTTTTTTTTCTTATATTTTTTTCTCTTTCACTTTATTTATATATATATATATATATATATATTCGTATTTTTATGTACACACATCGTGTATATATATATATCTATACTATTATAAAGTGAACACATAATATGGTGTCCTGAAGCTTGCTTTACTCTCCTTATGCCATGTGGCAGTATTTTTTATTTTTTTAAAAGAAGTTAAAAAAAAGAGATGGGCAAGGCTTGAACCCATGACCATGGGTTTAAATATGAGAACTCATACCACTTAAACTAAGTACACATTATAATATTAATTTTATTATTATTTTCTTTTATTCCTATTTATTTAATTTGCACACACATCGTGTGTGCCCAACCGCTAGTATATATATATATATATATATATATTCGTATTTGATGGTTGAGTGTAACTCAAATGATCGAGAGTAATTTTGAAAATTTTAAACCCTTTTAATTTAGAGTTGATATTTGCACTTGTTTGCAATCATTGTATATCTTTACTATAACAGTTTGTTGCATATTTGATAGAAAAAAAAAATCATATATTTAAAATTATAAATTTCCATGAAATTACTAATTTTTTTATACAGAAAAATGAACAAACTGCAATTCAAAAAATAAAATTTATCGTAGCATGAAGAAAATATTGTAAAATAGGAGATTTAAATATTATTTTATTCATTTATGCAGGAGTATGAACACAGTAATTTTCTTCTTTCTTCTGTTTGTTTGATTTGTGAATTTTGATCTTCTACTCTACATTCATCATATTCTTTTGTTTATTTTTCTTCTTTAAAAGGAAAAATAAATAAATTACAAGTTTTCTGTCTCATGGTACACCTTACCCATTTTATTTATTTACTTTTTTAATTTATTCATTTACTCTTTTTTTTTTTTTGCAAAAAAATTGGGATATATATTTTACCTTAATACGTTACAATCGTGAGTAATGACAATATGTAATTTGTTGCACCTCACTAACATGGTGAAAATTGTTTTTTTTTTTTTTTTTTTCCTTGCCTTGCTATGATTTCATCATTGAACATACAGTGAACCACCAACAAGCACGTAGCGTAGCTGGTAAGGGGTTATGCTAGCTTAACCAAGATCTCGGGTTCGAGACTTGGAAACGCAGCTGTGTTAAAAACTTGTTGGGAGAGCTTTGCCACCCTTGTGGTCCTACCCGGCTCGAATTGGATTAGTCGGGATCCTGTGGACTTCCGAATACCGGTGGTTTAGACCTAAAAGAAAAAAAAAATACAATGAACCAATTAATCAGATTAAAGAGCCCATATGAAAACTTCATATTATTTTTAGTAATGTTGTAATTATGAAATAAATATCATGAAAAGTTTCATAAAACTAATTAAAAGGTGACTGCATAATATACAATAAAACATTATAAACTAATCAAAGGGTGGAGAATGTTCATGAAAGATTTTCATGATATTTCTTTTATGATGTCTAAAATTATTATTATTTTTTTATTGAGTTATATTACCTGAATAACTCTAAAGCTTAACTAAAATTAGACGATGTGGAATGTAAAAGGGAACCTTCAAATTAGAGTAAAATAATAATAATAATAAATTTTGATCATATAGTTTTTTGTTTTATTTTGTTTTGTTTTATTTTTTTAAGCGCAACTTATTACAAGTTAAAAACTCATAATTACAAATAAAAACCAAAGCACCAATTTCCTAACTTCCAAATTTTATTTTAATTTTTAATTTTTAATTTTTAACTTAAAAAGTTATCAACAGAGCTAGATTAAACAGTCTAGTAAAGATTTTTAAAATAAAATAACTATAAGTAGCTTAGATAAACTTGACCAAAACAGCACCTTTGTTGTGAACCTTGTCTTGTAACTCATTATATGTGTTTGTTTAATATATTTTCTCTCTCAGTTGAATGAGCGTGAGATATTGCTCCAGGCTATTCTTTACATCCAAGTCTAAAAAAGTAAATAATTCTAATAGGATTTTTAGTTGAATGAGCGTGACAATAATATTTTTATAATTAAATATTTTATTTTAAAATAATAAATACTAATGCGATCAGTTTATTATGTACACAAATTTTATATACTTTTTTTTGTTTATATAAGATCACTCATCTGTAAATGTACTTTGGGTTCCAAAAAATTGGGTAGCACACTGGCCACCCTTAATGTTGTGTTTGGTTGAGGGATTTAAGGAGGGATTTGGAAAGAGAAATAGAAAAGGTAAGTGAAATGTGAAAAAAAACATGCCTACATTTCACATAGTTTCGTACACTTTTTCCCTTTCCCTTTCCAAATCCCTCCACAAATCCCCCAACCAAACACAGCATAAATAAAAGTGCAACACAACAAAAAGCAATGTTAAAAGGAATGAATTTATAAAATAACATTACAGGTTATTGTTCTACCTTTTTTATTTTTATTTTCATCTCAAATGAAAAGAACTTGTATATCCAAGTATAAATTGTTTTGTTTGTTTTCTCACAATAACATGGTGCAACGTCCTAAATCATTCAATATTAGCATAAACTTAGCCAATTCATAGTTCTGTATATTATGAATAATCCATAACAGGCCCACTATTAAATTATGCGAATTGAATGAAAACAAGATGGGCCAAAAGTTCCTGGACTAACCCAACCAATAAACAAAAATGAAAAAACACAGAACTTACTATAAAAGTGTTGTAAATACTATTTCTCTAACTTTGACTATTATATGTAACAGGAATTTGGGGTAGTTTTTAGAGATGACACAGGAATTTGGCTAAGCGGGTATTTTGGAAAGCTTGACTGTTGTTCAAGCTCAGGGTCGGCTGTCGGCATAGGCGCATCAGACTATGATTTAAGGCTTCTCAAAATAGATTAAAAAAAGAGACTTTTTCTATTATAATTTAGTGTAATATATTAAGTATATTTTAAGTTTAAATTTTTTTTAAAAGGGTCCAAATTAATTTAAAATAAATTGACTCGTTAAGAAATAAAAATTAAAAGGCCAATTCAAAATTAAAAGGGCTAATTCTTTTTTCCTATCTAATTCATAACCTTAACTCTTAATTCAATTTTTCCAATAATTTGAGAGAAGCTGCACAACAAAGCACTAACAAATTTCTCAAGAATTCAGAGTAGCAGCACAACATAGGTAGGTCTTTTATTCTATTCAATTAATTAAATATTTGTCTTATCTTTTACTCAATTGCTACTATAAAATTGGTATTTATGCAAATCTACATTATCAAAAAAAAAAAATTAATCTTTTGTTACATGTGCTTAATTTTTCATTGAATGAAAAAAAATATATATGTGAAGGGCCCCAAATAATTTAGTGATTTATTAATTGATTATCAGCTTTGGGCACCGAAAATCTCAAGGCCGACTTGCTCAAGCTTGGAAGTTGAGATATGGGATTTGTACAGACGATTGTACTAGAGAAAGGATTGTATAACGTAATCATTGAAATTGACTCATTCTTGGCTGAAAATTTGTCGATTGAAGGGCCATTACAGAACTACTCGTTTCGAAGATGCAATTGCATGATGTAATATTGTTGAAGACTCAAGGGTCCCGTTTGTTTAGGGTTATATGGAGGGGATTGGGATTACTAATCCCTTGATATTATTAATGGGGTGTTTGTTTTGAGAGATGAGGAGAGGACTATTAGTCCCTTGGTATTAGTAGTCCCCTTGGAAGGGAGATTGGTAAGGAGGGGGTAGAGATGGTATTAAAAAAATAGTGAGGGGATTAGAATTTTTTTTATTTTTTATATATTGGGAATTTTTTTTTAAATATAACGTTTAATTTTTTATATTTTTTTATTTATTTTATTATTTTATATAAAAATAATTTAATAATTCCTCACTATTAATCCCCTCACTATCAATCTCTTCATTAACAATCCTCTCACTATTAATCCCCTCTATTCTATCTCTGAAAACAAACGGAAGCAAGGTATCTTATTCGGAGATGCAATTGCACCATTAGCAGCATCAGCATCATGCGAGAAAGCAATAGTCAATAACAGGCCCACTATTAAATTATGTGAATTGAATAAAAATAAGATGGGCCAAAAGTTCCTGGACTAACCCAACCAATGAACGAAATGAAAAAACACAAAACTGACTATAAAAGAGTTGTAATATAATACTATAATAATGATACAGACCACTAAAATATCACCACTAATAATGTGGCAAGCCTAAAAAAAAAAAAACTAAGGCACAAAACACATGTGGACCCACTGCCACATCTCTAGTGCAACCACTAATTAGTAGTCAGCATCATTTTTCCATAATACTATTTCTCTAACTTTGACTATTCTATGTAAATTTGTTTCTAGAAAATTAGAAACATTTTTTTTTGGCCGGGGGGGGGGATGGATTTGGAATTACTGTTCATTCTTGTTTTCACTATTTTTTCACTTGCTCTCGTAACATGTTAAAACATTTATGTTATGTTTTCATTTTGGAGTCTTGTTTTGAAAATAAGCAACAAACCAAATTTTTTCTTTTTTCAAAATATTTTAAAACAAAATCATAGAACACATGAAACAAAACAAGAACCAAAGGGGCTCACTGTTTCTATTATCAACATATGAAAGAGTTATTTGGTGCACCTTATATAAGCTACTTATAACTTTTTTTTTGGTTATTTATTTTATAATTATTTTTATTTATTTTGGAAGTTTGTGTCCAATCTGTTTAGTATAACTTTTGTTTACCGTTTATTGGGTAAAAATAGTTTAAATAAGGTAAACCAAAGATTATTATCCAGAAGTTAAAAAGAAATACTTTTAGTGTTAGAAAATGATATACAAGTCCATTTTCTAGACCTATTTTCTACACCCAATGATGTGTAAATGAAATAATTGGTTAATAATTAGAGAAGGTATGAGAGATAGAATTGCTTTAAATATTCTAATAATCTGTCACA